CCTCGTGCACGACAGTAGGCTCGCAGAAGGCCAGAGGAGAACTCTCCGCCTCTGTCCGAGTGCAGACGCAGAACAGGAAAGTCCGAGCCGAAGCTCTTCCTGAGCTGGAGACGAGCCGCGCGGATCCAGTCGATCAACACCTCAGTGACATCACCCTTGCTGCGCAAGGGGAAGACTGTGGTGTAACGCGAGTAGTCGTCAACCACCAGCAGGAAGTAGCGCTCGTGACCCTGCCCACGGACGCGGGCTGGGCCCCACACGTCCATGTGAAGCGTCTGCAGCGGAGCCTCCGTCGGAGGAAACGGGGAGGAGTGAGGGGTAGCCCGAAGGCGTCCCTCGACACAGGGGACACAGGTAGGGCCAGGCCCCGGAGGAAGGGGAGGGAGGGACCGGGGAAGACCGGAGACAAGGACACGGGAGGCCATGCTTCGGAGACGAAGCAGGGAGGGGTGACCCAGGCGGTGGTGCCAGAGGAGGGTCTCGTGAGACAGGAGGCGACACGAGCAGGGGGCAGACTCAGAACCAGACCTGGACGCTGCAGCAAACACCTGACCCGACGCAGCTACCTGACCAAACGCAGGAGGCGGAGGAGACGCGGTAGTGAGTGTGTACAGGCTCGACCCCGGCCGACGCGTAAACGTGGCCAAGTGTCGGCCCGTGTCCGCATCCGTGCAGTGGGTCACGCGCTGGCGCGGAGGGGTGAACTGGTCAACCCCCCCATCCTGTAGGTCAGCACCCGCCACCAAGTTCGTAGAGAACGAGGGGAGGTACAGACCCGACAGGGAGCCAGACGGGACCACAGGGCACGGAAGGACAGTGGAGTAGTGAGCCAAAACAGGACCCCCAGAGGGGTCTGCCAGGGAGAGTGCAACTGGCCGACTAAGCGGCGTGAGTGTGATGCGGTCTCGAAAGAAGGAGCGAGACGCCCCCGAGTCAAGTGTGAAGGTGTGTGAGGCCGGAGCCGACGCGGTACCTGAGAGAGCAGACTCACCAGCACCTGAGGAAGCAAACTCACTGGCACCTAGAGCAGCAGCCTCACTAGCACCTGGAGCAGCAGCCTCACGAGTACCTAGAGCAGCAGTCCCAATGCCCGGGTCGGGCGGGAAACACCGGTAACAGTCACCCTCATCACTAATAGTCACAGCATACATGGCACGAAGGATAGCATCAAAGTTTAGATCAAAGATAGCTACTCCTGCCCTAGACAGCTGGTCCCAGCGAGGGATCTCAGTGGCGTCAGGGAATTGGCGGCGCCAAGCGTCAGTAAGGCGGCCAAAGCAGCGTTGGGTGGGGTGCGGCCTCCCACACTCCTCACCCGCACGGTCACCAGAGCGCAGAACGTAGGTGCACGGGCCAGTACCCCCACCCCTCTGGCGTGCAGCGTACCACTCACGGAGCTGCTGAGTGGAGAGGGTCTCCTGACCGCGCTGCTGCTGCTGGCACTGACCACCACCACCCCCACCACCACCCCCACCCCCCCCGCCGCCTCCACCGCCGCCTCCACCGCCCCCGCTAGCTCCTCCAGCGCCCTTGCCCCCCTTGCCCTTGCCAGGGCGACGTCTCCCACTAGAGGTAGACGCCGCACCGACCGACTCGAAACCAACGAGGTCGGCCGTAGCAGCAGAGGCAACAGAGGGCAAAAGGCGGGAGGGGGAACACCCCTCAAAGATGGGGGTGCGCGGGTCACCACGAGAGGCTCCTACAGCTAGTATGCTCTTCTCTGCTGCTAGGAGGTCCTTCTCGAGGAGGTCAACAGTGAGAGTGGTGGGGCAGACTGAGAGAAAGTGGTCCCTGACTGCGCGAAGGGAGTCAGGGAGGCGGGTGACTATGTAGTAGAGGGTGATGTACATGGGGGGGGGGGGGTTCTTGGCGCAGAACTCAGCAGGAAGCGCAGCGCGGTAGCGAGTGTCACTAGTGCGGAGGTGTGTAATGAGGTCAGCGACTGTGGCAAAGGCAGTAAGGTCAGGAAAGAGGTACGGTAGCATGAGGCGGCTCAGTGCAGCAGTGGCGGGGGAGGAGTAGCGTGCAACTACAGCGTCGTACAAGGTCCTAGCACTCTTGTACTGGCTAAAGTGCGCACGCTCAGAGGTAGGCAGGTGGCGACGCACAGCAAGACGTGCAGTAGCATCGCGTGTGGCCCACTGTGAGCGAACAGTGGCGTCAGCATCGGCAGTGGGGGCAGGGGAGGCACCAGACGTGAGGTCAAAGAGGGAGAGACCGTCTGCCCTATCGCACTGTAAGAAGAGCTGGAGGTCGTCTACCCAGACGTCAAAGTCAATGGCACGGCCCTCAGCGTCAAAAGTGAGGACACTGGGGGTAGCCATGACAGCAGTAGACTAGCAGCGCAGGCAGTGGGGTGAGGGCAGTGCGGAGAGGGAGGCGCTGCTCTTACCAGACAGGGGCAACAGCTATCACCGATGACGGTCTGCTGCACTTGACAGGTCTCTCCTCTCTCAAAGAGCTGGACATTTCTGAATGCAAAGGTGTGACAGATGGGGGCATGGTGCATGTGGGGAGGCTGACAGGGCTTGAGAGGCTTCATCTGGATTACACGGCAGTCACAGATGATGGGCTGCATCAGCTGACTGCCCTGACCAAGCTGACAAAATCCTGGCTGAATGCGGTACGCAGGCGGTTAGGCAGTCAGGGTGGCAGGCTGTGACTGGCTGCGGGAGACTGAGGGGTGTGGAGCCAAGGGGTGTGACGAACGAGGGGAGGAGGCATGCATGCGGAGGAGTGAGGCATGGAATGGTTGCTGGACGGGAGCAGGTGCAGGGCGTTTTGGGTAGGAGGCCATGCCTTTGAGTGGACTCAAAAGGAGGTCATGCCCAAATAATAGCATGCAGTTGGACAGATCCAGGTGTAGAGGCTACGTAAAGAGCCATGACTGCCTGGCTTTAAATGTGTATGTGATGTTTCTGCAATATGATCAATACAGTCAAACATCCATTACTTTGTCTACAAAGAGCATGGCTGACCTAAGTTTGTGTGCACGAGTGGCAGTGGCTGGCGTGATAGCATTCAAAGGGGTATGCTGTTGGGGTGTGAAACAGGAAGAAGTGGGCCTGCGTGTGAATGGATAGGAAAGGGGCAGATAGATGTGATGCATGCTGCTGCTCACATGAGCTCCAACCCAAGCACCCCTGCTTGCAATGTCCCTGACGAGATTGGCATACTGATACATAATTCTCTCATGACCAGCATCTGATATGGATGAAGCTGCTGCTAGTGGCAGCAGGCAGCAACACTGTGGGAGAAGCTGACTCCCTGAATCTAAAAGCAATGATTTCAGTGCGTGCTGCAATTATCCAAACCGCTCGGCCAACTCTCCTCTAAGACCATTGTGTGTCACCGCTACCCACCACAACAGATTTGACATGCTTCTGAACGTCTGTTCTGAAGACACAGTGGCATGGGCATAGGGGGAAGAGGGGCGGGGGCAGGAGGTTGGGCAGGGAAAGGGAAGGTGGGGTTGGGTTTGTGGCGCCTCTCTGCTGCAATCAACCAGTCACCGAGGAGGAGAGAGAGGAGGGAGTACACGGAAAACGAGGGTGGGGTGAGGGTTGGAGTGGTGGGGGAGGGGGCTCTCCACTGGGGAAGAAGGGAAAGAAAGAGATGTCAGCGGGGGATGGAGGGGTGGGGGTGGAGGGGGATTGGGTGACAGAAGGCGGTCTTGACGCAGAAGATGGCGAAATAAGAGAAAGGTGCTGTCTGCAGGTGCAAAGGCTACGGCTTGTGCTATAATGCTGGAATGGGAGGATCAAGCTGATGGTCTGAAAACAACGAGGATCCAGGATAAGGAGTAACACACGGTTTGTGCACAGGGTGAGTGTTAATGAGGGGCACAGCACGATGAGATGGATGGCATGATATGATGATATCAATGGTACGTTGGGATAGTACAATAGACTGCTGAAAGCTGGCAGGCATTGGAAGAGCTGAATGGGGTGGGGGGGGCTGTTGAGTATGAGGACGAGACATTAAAGCGAGCAGGCAAAATAGTGACCCCCTTTTCTAGTTGGGTCCAGGTTGAAATGGGTGAAGTGGCGGGAAGGAGTGTGGGTGGACGGCCAATTTTTACGCGCCAAAAGAAATGAGGCATGTGGATTCGCAGGAGGGGCGAAAAAAACGAGCAGGGCCCAGTTGATCGCACATGTGGTTAATAGCATTGTGAGGCATCAGCAAGCGAACCTGCTACTCGCCCAATCATGTATAGGCTTTGCATCTTCTGGTTGGACCAGTGATGACAAAATGAACACTCCAGCAGCACCTGCCACCCGCGACAAAACACCCCTATTGAAACCGAGTGGACACAACACACAACTGAAATGAGCAGGGCCCATCTCGAACACACCCTGCCTACCCCCTGAAGGCGACCAAATCCGCCCGACTCTGACTAGCCTAGCTATAGCACCTCCCGCGGTGATTAGGCGAAGCTAGTGATGAGTCCGTTTAGGCACGGCGCCACGCGCGCAAGCGCGCTGCCAGAACCGCCTGAAAACAAGCATGCGCGGATGTGTGCGGGTGAACATGTGTGTGCCTGTTTCAGATACAGTGCACGTGACAGAGTTGATCGCGCCACTGCTTATAAGCGAACCTCTCCTCGTCGCTTCCACCATTTTATTTCCCACGCGCTTCTCCTCGTCGCCCCCGCCTCGTTATTTCCCACGCGCGTCCGACCGATTTGGCAGTTTAGCAAGATTAGCATTGGCATACACTAAACAATCCTGCCGATGTACCCTTACGCAAAGGTGAGGTAGTATACGTCGACGTCATAATGCTGATCGCTAAATTCTTGCAGTGATTACCGTGTGCGAATACACACACCGTTCGAGTCAAATGGCCTCGGGTGTGTCGGGTCATCAAAGCTGCAGGCATTTGGCGGGTCAGTAGTTAGGGTTGAGGCCTTGTTGTAACTTCGAGCAGACCTGGGGACGGGTTTGAGACCAGTTGGGGTAGGTGACACCCAGGTAAACTGCGTTGGGGGTGAGGGCCACCCATCAATTTTCCTGAGTCTCCTCGTCGCCTTCGCCTCGTCTCCCAGGACCGAGTGGGAGAGACAAAGGGGCAAGGACACAGGGGGAGAGACAGAGGGGGAAGGACAGATTGGGAGAGGCAGAAGGGGAAGGACAGAGGGGGAGAGACAGCAGGCTAAGGACAGAGGGGGAGAGACAGCAGGCTAAGGACAGAGGGGGAGGAACAGAGGGGGAGGGACAGCAGGCTAAGGACAGAGGGGGAGAGACAGCAGGCTAAGGACAGAGGGGGAGAGACAGCAGGCTAAGGACAGAGGGGGAGAGACAGCAGGCTAAGGACAGAGGGGGAGGAACAGAGGGGGAGGGGCAGACAGGGGTGTGACAGAGGGAGAGAGCCTGTACTTCCCTCACTCCCTCTCCCCGTCGCCCTCACTTCTAGCATCACTGTTTACACCCCTCTGCATTGGACCCTACCACCCTTTCTCCCACCAGCTCTGTTTACCCCCCAATCTATTCTCCTTTCCCTCTCCCTGCTTCCCCCCTCCCTCCTCTCTGCCTCCCCCCTCACTCCTCCCTGCTTCCCCCCACCATCAGAGTGGTGAGCGCCACACACCAGGTGAGGCTTCACTTTCTCCATATGCACCCCTCCTCTTCCTCCCCCTACCCATGTACCCCTCCTCTCTCGTGCACGCCCTAATTCCCCCCCTCCCCCACCCTGCTTCCCCCCATCCCCTTCCCTGCTTCCCCCCATCCCCTTCCCTGCTTCCCCCCATCCCCTGCCCGGCTTTCCCCCTCCATATCCTCAGGTGATATCTCCCCACACGGCGAAATGGGGAAATGGGGAAGGGGAAATGGGAAAGAGACAGAAGGAAGGGGAAATGGGGAAGGGACAGAAGGAAGGGGAAATGGGGAAGGGAGGAAGGGGAGATGGGGAAGGGACAGAAGGAAGGGGAAATGGGGAAGGGACAGAAGGAAGGGGAAATGGGGAAGGGACAGAGGGAAGGGGAAATGTAGAAGGAACAGAGGGAAGGGGAAATGGCGAGGGACAGAGGGAAGGGGAAATGGGGAAGGGACAGAAGGAAGGGGAAATGGGGAAGGGACAGAAAAAAGGGGAAATGGGGAAGGGACAGAGGGAAGGGGAAATGGGGAAGGGACAGAGGGAAGGGGAAATGGGGAAGGGACAGAGGGAAGGGGAAATGGGGAAGGGACAGAAGGGAAGGGGAAATGGGGAAGGGACAGAAGGAAGGGGAAATGGGGAAGGGACAGAAGGAAGGGGAAATGGGGAAGGGACAGAAGGAAGGGGAAATGGGGAAGGGACAGAAGGAAGGGGAAATGGGGAAGGGACAGAAGGAAGGGGAAATGGGGAAGGGACAGAAGGAAGGGGAAATGGGGAAGGGACAGAAGGAAGGGGAAATGGGGAAGGGACAGAGGGAAGGGGAAATGGCGAGGGACAGAGGGAAGGGGAAATGGGGAAGGGACAGAAGGAAGGGGAAATGGGGAAGGGACAGAAGGAAGGGGAAATGGGGAAGGGACAGAAGGAAGGGGAAATGGGGTTGGTACTTTCGGAGGGTGAAAGGAAGAGGGGCAAAGGGAAGGGGGAATGGGGAGTGACACACAGGGAAAAAGGGAAATGGGGAGGGACAGGGGGTAGGGGAAATGGGGAAGGGACAGAAGGAAGGGGAAATGGGGAAGGGACAGAAGGAAGGGGAAATGGGGAAGGGACAGAAGGAAGGGGAAATGGGGAAGGGACAGAGGGAAGGGGAAATGGGGAAGGGACAGAGGGAAGGGGAAATGGCGAGGGACAGAGGGAAGGGGAAATGGGGAAGGGACAGAGGGAAGGGGAAATGGGGAAGGGACAGAAAAAAGGGGAAATGGGGAAGGGACAGAGGGAAGGGGAAATGGGGAAGGGACAGAGGGAAGGGGAAATGGGGAAGGGACAGAGGGAAGGGGAAATGGGGAAGGGACAGAAGGGAAGGGGAAATGGGGAAGGGACAGAAGGAAGGGGAAATGGGGAAGGGACAGAAGGAAGGGGAAATGGGGAAGGGACAGAAGGAAGGGGAAATGGGGTTGGTACTTTCGGAGGGTGAAAGGAAGAGGGGCAAAGGGAAGGGGGAATGGGGAGTGACACACAGGGAAAAAGGGAAATGGGGAGGGACAGGGGGTAGGGGAAATGGGGAGTGACAGGGGCAAGGGGATTTGAATTTGTACAGAAAGGGGAAATGGGGAGGTCCGAGAAAAGGGGAAATGGGGAGGGACAGAGGGAAGGGGATAAGGGGAGTGACAGGGACCAGGGGAAATGCTGAGCGACTGGGGGAAGGGGAAATATGGAGTGACAGGGGAAAGGGGAAATGGCGAGGGACACAGGGAAGGGGAAATGGGGAAGGGACAGAGGGAAGGGGAAATGGGGAAGGGACAGAGGGAAAGGGAAACCGAGAGGGACGGAGGGAAGAGGAAATTCGGTTGGGTCTTTAGGAGGGTGAAATGAAGAGGGGCAGAGGAGGGCAGAGTCAGGGAGTGAGTCCTGGGCCGGGCCTAGGCTGCTGATGTCTGTTCGCACGGGTGGCCTGGGGCAGACACATTGGACATAGGGGGAATGGCTGGGAAAACGGGCAAGCGAGGGTGTGTGGGACGGCGACCTTCCATGGGCCCCAATGCCGATCAACCCCTCTTTCAAGCCTCGAAAGGGTGTTAAGAGGATGGGTGATGTGGGAAGGTTGTGAAGAGGAGCGTGATGGGTGTGACGGTATGAGCAAGGTAGGTGGGGGCGCACAGGTGAACACCAGGCATGCACCAGGTACACACCTGAGCGGGGACACTCACACTAGCACACACTTGCGGCGTCGCGCAAATCAAGCCCGTCAGGGGTCTTGACGGCTAAGTCAGCGGGGGCGCGAATGCACGACTGGAAATGGGGAAACGGGGTGGGACAAATGGGAAGGGGAATTGCAGAGGGATTGGAGAAAAGAGGAATTGGGGAGGGACAGAGGGATGGGAGTGCAGTGCCTTGCTCTCCAAACGAATTAGAGTAGGCGAGGCACTGTGACTTGCACTCCGTCTGAAAAAGAGCAGGCGCGGCACTGTGCCTTGCGCACCACGTGAAAACGAGCAGGTGCGGCGCCGCGCCTTGAATTTCGTGTGAAAACGAGCAGGCGCGTCGCTTTGCCTTGAATTCCGTGTGAAACTGATGAGGCGCGTTGCTGTGCCTTGCATTCCGTGTGAAAACGAGCAGGTGTGGAAACGAGCAGGCGCGGCGCCATGCATCAGGCATTCCGTGCCTAAACGAGAAGCGCGGCGCTGTGCCTTGCATTCCGCACGGATCTAGTAGCCAAGGTTGAAGGCCTTGCAATCCGTGCGAAAGCTGAATAATAGGTGCAGCGTTGAGCCTATGCAATGTCGAACACAAGCGCGCTCCAGTGCTTCGCGATGCATTGTGTTCGTACGTGACGGGTGTGGCGACGTGGCTTCTAATCTGTTGGAAAACGAGTAGGGACGACTTGCAGTTTGTTCTACTGCGATGCGCAGCATATCACAAGGCCTTCTAGACACGGTCGCGTGCGTAAACTGCTGGGAATATCACGCAGCCCGTTTTTGGTGCTCGACATGCTGCAGGAGTGACATGCGAGTAGTAAAGGCTTGCATCCTAACGCTCTGTTCTGGCTGATACTGACGGCGCCAGCAGTGAGAAGGCACACGATTGACAGCTATGACCGAAACCGAAATACAACGCTACGCGCGCGGCCCCTTTCCCCCGTAACTAAACTGTGCAGGGTTTCACTCCCTTTGCTCTTGAGTCTCTGGTGCCGTGGGACGAGCAAAATAGTAAGCTATGACTAGCTAGCGTGCAACCCAGGTCCACTTTGAAGCTCAAATTGGGCCCGGTGGATTCAGTCTTGCGCACTTCTGTTTTTTGCACCTGTTTTTGTGGTTCTGTTCCCAGCGCTTCAGTTCATTTCGTGTACTCCTCTCGCAGGAGAGCGTGACATTCGTTTTCGTTCCCATGTCGCAGAGCGCAACCCACGCGTTCCCTGGCATTGCTTGCGAGCAGACCCACCAATGCCATAGTTCGCATTCGACCCTATAACTCGTTGTCCAATCAAATGTTTTTTCCAGCCTCGCTCCTCGAAATGACACGGCTCAAATGAATAGTGCGCCACTTCTTGTCGAGCCCAGAGCACCCTCTGGAAACAGTGCCAGAGTTTCAAACTGGGCCTTGGGTCACTATTTTGCCTGCTCGCTTTAAAACCAGGGTCCCACGTAGATCATTTGTTTTGCAGTTGATGGGAAAACCCCGTTTCTTATTGGTTGACGAGGTTGGAACAACGAAAAGCGGGGCAGCGAGGGATGCGAAGTGAACAAAATCGTTTGCTGTGTTCCAAACCTTCTAGGTATGGAAACAGGTTCGGAGCCGAAGCTACAGTGCCAGTGAAATGTCAAGAGTTGTCGAAAGTCTCATGTACCTGAAATTTGTTTTGCAATTGGTGCTGAGGCAAAAGTGGGGGAGTGTCGCACGCCAACTTCCCTAGCCAACCAGTCCGCCTCGCCTAGAAAAACAAGGTAACTCAGCCTCAAATGTTTTGCAGTTGATGGCAGAATCTCTTACTTGAGACTAAGTAAGGGAATAAGTGAGGGAGGGAAGGAAAGAAAGGGGGGAGACAAGGAGATGACAGGAGAGAGTGGAAGAAGGATGCCAGATGGGAGGGACATGTAGGACATGGGAAGGAATGAGGGAAGAAGAGGGGGAGAGTGGGTGGTGGTGTGGGGTGGATTGCTTGTCTCACCTGTGATGACGTCATCTGCCATCAAGAAAGGGGTTTGTGGGTGGTTGGCTCCATGTGCCGCGTCACCCTCTCTCCCCTCCCACCACTACCATGGTGGCAAGGCCGTGAATTGAGGCTGGCTTTAGAACGCAGAAGAGATTTAAGGGGGTGGGAAGGGGGAGGAGAGGTGTGTGAATGGGGGGAAGCAGGACCGTCTGGGAGAAAGCGAGGCTTTAAAGCAAGGGTGCACATTCCTAGGGGCGGTTTTTGGGTGTGTTGGTTTGGTTCACCCGTTAGGGTGCTATGAATGGTTGGCAAAGAGTCCAACCATATGAAACACTGGAGCGAGGGTTGGAGAATGTGCTGGCGAACACAAAAACAATTCGTCCGCGAGTTGGGTTGGGGGAACAGACGACGGAAGGTGAGGCAAGTGATAAACCTTTGCCTCCACCCCCCCCAAAGTGCACCCTTGCTTTAAGAAAATAAGAGGAAGGATGGATGTAGGGAAGAGAGTTGATAGCACAGGTACATGGGGGAGAACGCGTGCAGCGGCAAAGGGTGGGGTGAAGGGGGGGATGAATAGAAACGGCAAATCAGCAGCCAGGCAACTCAAGAGGTATACTCGCTCTGTGCAAGGGCGCATTCGGTTCTCGCACTGGGTTCCTGTAAAGGAAGGGCTGCAGGAAGGATCATGAGTGTGAAGCTCACGAGGACGGAAGGGGGATGATGGCAGGATAACAGGAGCGCTAAAGATTGTGCCAAAGTGCAAGCATGTGCCCACCTAATTGCTCTGCTCCATGCCACCCCATGTGCTCCATGCCACCCCATGTGCTCCATGCCACCCCATGTGCTCCATGCCACCCCATGTGCTCCATGCCACCCCATGTGCTCCATGCCACCCCATGTGCTCCATGCAACCCCATGTGCTCCATGCCAACCCATGTGCTCCATGCAACCCCATGTGCTCCATGCCACCCCATGTGCTCCATGCCACCCCATGTGCTCCATGCCACCCCATGTGCTCCATGCCACCCCATGTGCTGCATGCCACCCCATGTGCGCCATGCCACCCCATTTGCGCCATGCCACCCCATGTGCTGCATGCCACCCCATGTGCTGCATGCAACCCCATGTGCTCCATGCCACCCCATGTGCTCCATGCCACCCCATGTGCTCCGTGCCACCCCATGTGCTGCATGCCACCCCATGTGCTGCATGCCACCCCATGTGCTCCATGCAACCCCATGTGCTCCATGCCACCCCATGTGCTCCATGCCACCCCATGTGCTGCATGCCACCCCATGTGCGCCATGCCACCCCATTTGCGCCATGCCACCCCATGTGCTGCATGCCACCCCATGTGCTGCATGCCACCCCATGTGCTCCGTGCCACCCCATGTGCTCCATGCCACCCCATGTGCTCCATGCCACCCCATGTGCTCCATGCCACCCCATGTGCTCCATGCGACCCCATGTGCTCCATGCCACCCCATGTGCTCCATGCCACCCCATGTGCTCCATGCCACCCCATGTGCTGCATGCCACCCCATGTGCTGCATGCCACCCCATGTGCTCCATGCCACCCCATGTGCTGCATGCCACCCCATGTGCTGCATGCCACCCCATGTGCTGCATGCCACCCCATGTGCTGCATGCCACCCCATGTGCGCCATGCCACCCCATGTGCTCCATGCCACCCCATGTGCTCCATGCCACCCGATGTGCTTCATGCCACCCCATGTGCTCCATGCCACCCCATGTGCGCCATGCCACCCCATTTGCGCCATGCCACCCCATGTGCTGCATGCCACCCCATGTGCTGCATGCCACCCCATGTGCTGCATGCCACCCCATGTGCTCCATGCCACCCCATGTGCTCCATGCCACCCCATGTGCTCCATGCAACCCCATGTGCTCCATGCCACCCCATGTGCTCCATGCCACCCCATGTGCTCCATGCCACCCCATGTGCTCCATGCCACCCCATGTGCTCCATGCCACCCCATGTGCTCCATGCCACCCCATGTGCTCCATGCCACCCCATGTGCTGCATGCCACCCCATGTGCTGCATGCCACCCCATGTGCGCCATGCCACCCCATGTGCTGCATGCCACCCCATGTGCTGCATGCCACCCCATGTGCGCCATGCCACCCCATGTGCTGCATGCCACCCCATGTGCTGCATGCCACCCCATGTGCGCCATGCCACCCCATGTGCTCCATGCCACCCCATGTGCTCCATGCCACCCCATGTGCTGCATGCCACCCCATGTGCTGCATGCCACCCCATGTGCCGCATGCCACCCCATGTGCTCCATGCCACCCCATGTGCTCCGTGCCACCCCATGTGCTGCATGCCACCCCAATGTGCTGCATGCCACCCCATGTGCTCCATGCAACCCCATGTGCTCCATGCCACCCCATGTGCTCCATGCCACCCCATGTGCTGCATGCCACCCCATGGGCGCCATGCCACCCCATTTGCGCCATGCCACCCCATGTGCTGCATGCCACCCCATGTGCTGCATGCCACCCCATGTGCTGCCACCCCATGTGCTCCATGCCACCCCATGTGCTCCATGCCACCCCATGTGCTCCATGCCACCCCATGTGCTCCATGCGACCCCATGTGCTCCATGCCACCCCATGTGCTCCATGCCACCCCATGTGCTCATCCCCATGTGCTCCATGCCACCCATGTGCTGCATGCCACCCCATGTGCTCCATGCCACCCCATGTGCTGCATGCCACCCCATGTGCTGCATGCCACCCCATGTGCTGCATGCCACCCCATGTGCTGCATGCCACCCCATGTGCGCCATGCCACCCCATGTGCTCCATGCCACCCCATGTGCTCCATGCCACCCCATGTGCTCCATGCCACCCCATGTGCTCCATGCCACCCCATGTGCGCCATGCCACCCCATTTGCGCCATGCCACCCCATGTGCTGCATGCCACCCCATGTGCTGCATGCCACCCCATGTGCTGCATGCCACCCCATGTGCTCCATGCCACCCCATGTGCTCCATGCAACCCCATGTGCTCCATGCCACCCCATGTGCTCCATGCCACCCCATGTGCTCCATGCCACCCCATGTGCTCCATGCCACCCCATGTGCTCCATGCCACCCCATGTGCTCCATGCCACCCCATGTGCTCCATGCCACCCCATGTGCTGCATGCCACCCCATGTGCTGCATGCCACCCCATGTGCGCCATGCCACCCCATGTGCTGCATGCCACCCCATGTGCTGCATGCCACCCCATGTGCGCCATGCCACCCCATGTGCTGCATGCCACCCCATGTGCTGCATGCCACCCCATGTGCGCCATGCCACCCCATGTGCTCCATGCCACCCCATGTGCTCCATGCCACCCCATGTGCTGCATGCCACCCCATGTGCCGCATGCCACCCCATGTGCTCCATGCCACCCCATGTGCTGCATGCCACCCCATGTGCGCCATGCCACCCCATGTGCTCCATGCCACCCCATGTGCTCCATGCCACCCCATGTGCTCCATGCCACCCCATGTGCTCCATGCCACCCCATGTGCGCCATGCCACCCCATGTGCGCCATGCCACCCCATGTGCGCCATGCCACCCCATGTGCGCCATGCCACCCCATGTGCGCCATGCCACCCCATGTGCTCCATGCCACCCCATGTGCGCCATGCCACCCCATGTGCGCCATGCATGCGGCTAGCTCTACTCACGTGGAGCTGATGATGGGCGCCTGTGGCCGGTCCTCTGGCGTGGGAGACTCAAAGCGGTACCTGCAAGCACAGGGGGGTGGAAAAGGGAGGCGAGGGATGGGAGGGGTGGGGAGGGATGGGGAGGGGTGGGAGGGGTGGGAAAGGGTGGGGAGGGGCGGGAGGGGCGGGAGGGGTGGTAAGGACGATGAAGCGAGGACACGTGTGGGTAAGGCTAGCAAACGCGCTTGGCAGGAAACGCTGTAGTGAAACACGAAAGCACGGAGGAGAGAGGGGCGCAGTTCAGGGCGAGTTATTTGTTCACTGAAGCTTAAGCACCAAGCAGTGTGTGAAGTGAAGCGTTATACGTCAATAACCAAGCCAAGCCCTCCACTCACTCCCCCCATTCCCTCACTTCCCCCCTCTACCCCCCCCTCCCAAATCCCACTAACTCCCACTACGGGGTGGGAGGCACGGGGTGGGAGAGGCACGGGGTGGGAGGCACGGGGTGGGAGGCACGGGGTGGGAGGCACGGGGTGGGAAGCACGAGGGGGGGAGGTACGGGGTGGGAGGCACGGGTTGAGCTGCAGCTCAATACCACGCTTGAAGTTGAACCACACCCCATCAACCCCCATGCACACTAACCTGGGATGGTTGAAGCAACGGAGAGCAGAGAGAGCCGCGGGCTCCTTGAAGCTCTCCAGAGGAGAGGCAGTGTGGATCCCGATTTGCGATGTTGGACAAGACAGGCCCAGCACAGCACGTTAGAGCTGATCTGAGATGCGTTAAGAGAACTCTCAAAGATCTGGGGAGAGTGTCCCATGAGGGGCGTGCGGATGAGCGTGTCCTAGAAGTACAAATGCTGCGCGCCCGTGGGGGGGAAGACAAGAGAGAGCTGGTTGCTGCAACTTGCGTGCTGAGCAGCAGCTCCCGCCACTTCCAAATACACGCCTGGTGTGTTGCTTAGAGAAGGTAGGAAAGGGAAGGGGAAGAAAGAGAAGGGGAAGCAAGAGAGTAGTCACCGCTTGTGGGGATGAAATGGAAGTAAGATCTTGTCGTTGAAGGGCGTGTTGAACAGAAGCCATCCCTGCCTGCCACTCCCCCACCATGCCTAGGAGGTTAAGAGGAGGATAAGGGGAGGAGAGGGAGGAAAAGGGGACTGAAACTGGAGGGGAAGGGAGACCTTGAGGGTTCTTGCCTGTCTGTGGATGACAGGAAGGTACCATTCACTCAACCGTGTATAAGTGCAATAGTCCTACAAATTATGCACACACATGCACATGCACGCATTGCGGCCCCCCATCCACCCATCCCATGTTCACCATGCATCGGGGTGCAAATCTTGTACCTCATATTCCAAATCTCCTCTGCTCGTCGTGTCGCTTGTCGCCTCTGCTGTCTCCTTGGCTCGCCTCAAATGCTCTTCCTGCCTCTGGCTGGCAGGTCGTGCCACGTGCCCACACATGCTGTCAGCGCTAGTGAGCAGGAGGTGTTTAAGAGAGTGGGGTGAGCGGGAAGGAATGATGCATGCATGAGGGAGGTGAAGGGGTACGAAAGCAGGGGAAGCAGGGGCGCAAGCATGAGCGCAGGAACGCACAGGCCGCACCGTGGGGGGGGGAATGGAGGACAAGAGTGGGAACGGGGAAGGGGAAGAGGTAAGACAGCAAGCAAGGACAGCAATGGAGGCATTGCGGCATGGGGCCACAAACACGGTGCAGTAGGTGAGTGTGAGAGCGGGAAACAGAGAGGAACGACAGGAGGGAGGGAGCAACACAATTTCATTTGTAACAGAGGAGCAGGAGTAGCACTTGCAAGTTGCAAGCAACTTGGAAGTCCTACTACAAAAAATTGGATTATAGCACTTCCATGTAAGCAACGATGTAAGGTGCTTGATGGAGGAACACACTGTGTGGTGCCAGATAGTAGGACAGGACTTCCATCCCACCCACATCTTCTGTGTGTGCTCCCACATTAGCTTACATGTTTATAATAGCAGAGGAGCAGGAGTGCAGCCGGGCTGCAGTCGAGGAGCCCATGCTAAAATCACTACTGGGTCCTGGTGTCAAGGTGGAAAATTGCGCTGAGCGAAATTTTCGAGCCGAAATTTTCGATCCAAATTTTCGGCCATTTTTGTAATATTTCGGCGAAATTTTAATGGACCTTAAAAAAAAAAAAGACAGATCCGCCCTAGATTTGATGGCGAAATGCCAGATCCGCCCTAGATCTGATGGCGAAATGCCAGATCCGCCCTAGATCTGATGGCGAAATGCCAAATCCGCCCTAGATCTGATGGCGAAATGCCACATCCGCCTAGATCTGGTGGCAAAATGCCATTAGAATGTCCACCCATGAAATTTTATCGGATTTTCTCTTTTTTTTTTCCAGAAAATTTCGGACGAAATTTTCCACCAAATATTTTTTTGGAAGGGGGACCGAAATTATGGAAATTTTCGGTCGAAATTTTCGATAGCGAAATTTTCGCCCAAAATATGAAAAATTCGGCGACATTTTGCACCCTGCCTGGTGTAAGGAGGATGATGAGCAGCGGTAGGGGTGTTGGTGGGAGGGATGAAGCAAGGGAAGACGGAAGGAGAAGCAACTCAGAGTGAGTGAGAGGAGGGCGAGAAACAAGAAGCGGTTGAAGGGAGGAAGGGTGTGGGGCAGGGGGGGAAAGAGAGGGAGGGGACGGAGGACAAGGGAAGATGTGGGGAGGAGGAGGGCAGGTAAAGTTACCATTGATCACTCTAAAGGTTTGGACACACAAAGCTCTGCGGCGTTTCTTATTTGAGGCCAGAGGAGCAGAATCTCCTTGAACCTCCCATGGATGGCCTTCAACAGCGCATATTCCTGCAGCGCCATGTACAGGAATATGCGCAGCCTGCACATGGCTGCTGCACATGGCGCCATGTGCAGCCTGACCAGTGCAGTGCTCGCCAACCTCACCATCACCACCACTAACACCACCATCACCACCACTAACAGCATCACCACCACTAAGTGTTTCGTTATAAGGCGGCTTGACACAAGCTGCTGTCGTGCCAGCTTCCGCTTCCACAGTCCGCCCTTGCGTTGACGGTTAACCTGACACTCGCTTCGACTGCAGCTGCATCGGTACCTTCCCTGTAAGCAAGCACATCTTGTTTGTTGGGATGCTGCTGCTGCTACTCTGCAACTGCTGCTCCGCTCCTGCTGTTCTAGCTCCTGGTGTAATTGCTCTTTCTGCTTTTGCTACATCTTCCTCCTCATTTGCAGCCTTCCAGACCCTGCCTCTTCCCTTTACCGCTAGCCTACCTCCTGCTCAGACTCGAGGTCAACATGCATTGAGCACGCGTGCAGTTAAAGCCCTCTCATACAAGGTGACATAACAACCGCTGCCTCGCTCGTCGCTCCATGCCTCCCTGCTCACCTATGTCACTTCTCGCATGAGTGCACTGTCGTGGCCAGGCTGTGTGTCTCAACGAAGTTCCAAGCGTCGCTCCCGTTTTGCCCGTGGGAACGGCGCTGTCGTCGCTCCCCCCAGCGACGGATCGGGGGGCTGGAACGCTCGCCGGCTGGGGCTTGTCGGGACCTTCGTCACGCGCGGCAGTTTCCCGTCCCACCTGAACACTTTTCACCCCCTAGATTCCGCGTGGTCAACTAATACGGATGTATCAGCGTCGCGACAAAAAACACCCACGAAGTGGAAACCCTACGCGAAGTTGAGACGGGCCGCTCATTGCTGTTGGTGTGGGAAGGGGAGGGAGTTGAAGGGAGAGCGCATAGGGGCGTAAATCAGCGTGAGCAGGAAGGTTGGGGGGAGGAGGAAGAGGGGGGCGGGGGGGGGGGGGGGGGGGGGGGAGGGGGAAGGGGGAGACTGACAACAGCGCCTTGTCCACAAAGAAGCGCTGGGAATGCTAACTGAGCGCAGCGCCGGAATGGGAGGGCGCAATGAAGGGATGCATCAAATTCCTGCCAGTGTGGCGATGGTGCCTCGCATTCAAATAAGCTCCTCCCACCCACCACCGCCCTGCTGCCATCGTCTGCTGAAATGGCCGCCAGCTGAGAGGCCCCACATTCACCTACTGGCGCATTGCTGCCAGGTGCATCCCCGCACAGTAATTGCGGCATGGGAATGAGACGCACCTTAAAGCAATGCTCACGTAAGTGCTGCCTTGTCAGCAAAATGGCGCCAAAAACGGCATACCAGGCGCGGATAACAGGGATGGGACAACGGATGGGAGCATGGATAGCAGCAGAAGCGAGTGATGATCGTATCCGTCGGACGGATCAGGATGAATGACTCTTCAGATCCCCCCACTAATGCGGTGGTGCCGAGTGGCGATCTCGTTGCATCCGAATGGGCCTCTCGCCTCCACGTTAGCACCCCCCGACTCACCCTCAGATCCCTCATCGCGATGGCGCGCATTCCGCCTGCTGCCAAGGCGCAGAGCGTCTACGACCGCGAATGCGACGAGTGCGAAAATTTCAGCGCGGAGAGAGACAGCAGTGGGATGGCGGTCGCACGCGAAAACAGTGGCACGACGAGATGGCTTAGGGTTCACGCTCCTCGCATTGGTGATTCGTTTAAACCTCGAAATGACTACGTGGCACTTAACCCTAGTGGTAGCATAAAGTCTTACAGCAGCCGTGGCTACGAAGAGGGAGTGAAAACGAACTCATTCCAGAACTTTTGAAGAGAAATCCAAACCGTTTAAAAGAATGCGGAATGCTTTGAATCTCGCAACGCGAATAGTGCACGCGGCGGATAAATACCAGATCGGATAGTGCACGCGGCGAGTTCCGATAAGGCGCCGCGCGAATGCTTTGAATCTTGCTGAGCTAGGTATTGGCGGAAGACTGTGAAAGTGGACGTGGAAAAGCCTAGGGTCTATTTGACACCTGGGTTGGAGCTCGCGTCTCCAATTACACCCTTCCATCCAAGTGTTAAACGCTTGATATAGGGTAACAGACTGCTTTGTCGCAAAGTACACCCAGGCAAGGGTTGAGAGTCGGGAAAGTGTGGGTGGGGTGGTTTGGGTTTGCAACGTGCACTGTAATTGGGTGAGCAAATACGCCAAAGCAGGTTGGGTTGGCAAACTCACCTGCGCGACAAACAAAGCTGAGAATGCGCCCATCGTGCGACAACGGGACCGTCGCCCTCTCGTCCCTGCAAACCAAGCGTTTTACACAGCATGGTATATCTCAACGCCCCGACCACATCCGGGTGCAAAAACGACGCGGCTCGGGAAAGGGATCCGCCACCCTGCGTCATCCTGTCCGGCTAACTGAGTGCACGTCCTGGGCGAGGAGCGTCACCCTGCGTCGCCCGGCAATCCCGATGAAAAATACCCCGATAGCACCTCTCAACGGACCCTCCGTACGAGGTCGACACCTCGACGACGCCGGTCGCGGTCAGCGTGCCACGACGTCCACCTAGCCATCGGCGCGGACTGCGACGTGAGGCCCACCGCGATTTCTGGCCGGCCACTGCGCTGGCGCGCAGAGCCACACGTCGCCCATCCGAAACACAACATTCCACGCGGCGAACATCGATCGGCAAACGTCTGTCCACGCGGCGATCAAGCCTTCGCCGGCCTGCTGGCGGGAACGTCCCCGCGGGATACCATCGTCGGGCGACGCCATGAGCACTGCTGCGTCACGCCGACGTGTAAGCACGGTTCACCGTGACGGGAACACCGGACGGTCGGCTGCGTAAAAGACATGAGTGCCCCGTGCAACGTCGACCATTGCGCCGCCGTGCCGTTCTGCCTTGCATGCAGAGTTGGAGACATGCCCACGGATCGCCCGCCAACACCTGTCCGCCCGAACCGCGACTGTGCCTCTCTATGCTATGACCCCCTGACGGCCAAGTGTCCATGGCATTTCGACACTTGTTTGTTGCGTTGCATTCATTTCCATTCTGGTGGGCCACATTTCCCTTGCTCATTTTCACGCTTCTCGGAGACCGACCGACCACGCGCGGTGCAGGGTCGACGACGAGCCATGCCGGTGTAGAGTGCGTTTAGGTCGGCAAACTTTACGGGCTTCCGACTTAGGATCATTCCGACTAGGACGACTGACTAGGTCGACAACAACCGAAAGTCGCCGACCTCTTTCTTCAAACCCACAACCAGTATTGTCATCGCCGGTGATCCCCCGTGCGGCCTCCAATGGTCAGGGACCAGTCTAACAACATCCCGCCGGACAACACCCCGCCGAACGATACATTGCCACTTCACACCCCGCCGACCATTGTGCCGCCGACCACGGCCACTCCGAACATCACCCAGCAGAACACCAATCCGCCGCCCTTACTTCCCGAAATTCCCGAACTGACCGACATTGCCGCGGAGTTGACGATCGCCGAGAACGTTGAGAGGGCCGAAAGATGGGCGGCCTTTAGGGCCATGGTGCGAAGGCAATACACGGCAGCGATTGTGCAGTATCGACTTTGGTGGGCTGAGCACGTACCGCAGCGAGATCGCGGCGACAACTAGAGGCCGACGGGAACAACTCTACCCGCCGAGATGGCTGGCGTCGCGCCGCCGGCGGGGAGCAGCGCGATTCCCGACCTGAACGAGCCTTTCATGGAGGAAGATGTAGACACCGCTAGGGCAAATATTCCCGCCGACATGGTGGTCGACGTAGACGCCGCTAGGGCAAAAATTCCCGCCGACCCGACCATCCCCCTACCGCCAGGGACGAAAGGGGCTCCCGAACCCGGGCCGGACCGGTACTCGCCGCGTTCGGACACGGAGCAGCCGCCGCCAATTGGACCATTTCCAGAAAACGACTACATGTATCTGACCGTAGAGGACTTGTTGGCAGCCGACGAGAAAGATGACGCCTTCCTGCAAAACATTCCGCGCGACGATTTTGCGGAAGCCGCCTTCGACATCAACAAAGAGCTCGCCAAGAAGAACAGATTGCTGAGGATGATGTGGGGTTTCCGGCATCTCGACACGCTGGAGGCGAGAACGACCCGGATTCAGTACCTGCGGGCGCTGCTCGACTTCAGGAGATGGTGCTGCGCGAACCTTCCAAGACAGCAAACCGCCAGAGTCAAGGGGGACGACGTGCTGGAACACGAGGACGAGATAGGGAGGTACATCGACGAAGACATGGGTGATAAGTGGCACACCGCCAAGGGCGACCTACAATGGATGCACGGTCCCCGCGTCAACGCCACGCGGATCAGGGCGTACATTCTGTCAATCGCGAGGCAGGAAGGTATTGCAAAGGCCGAGGAGCTCGAGGAGCTGAATCCCGACGTCCGTGTCCAGCCCCTGAAGCCGACAACCGTTTCGATGCTGCTCATCCGCATCAAAGCGCTCCAGACGGCCTGCAAGGTCGAGGGGACGCTCTTCGGGGTGAAGGAGCTCCACATCATGTACGACATCTCCGAGGTCCGCTCGGAGGTGCGCGCGATGGTCAGAGAGAAGTGGCACAGGGACGACAGGTAAGTCGGCAAGTCGTCCCGCGCCTGTTTCCCGGTTCGCCCAGCTAACCCAGTCCTCGTGGAAACTGATGTGCAGGGATTGCGTCGACCGGCACCGCGGAACGCTCGGCGACACGTACACCACCGACCAGATCCGCCACCTCATGTTCAAGGTCTTGCCGACCTGGGCAGCTCGGGCGTACGAACCCAAAGCGGCCACCCCCTCCCAGACACTGTGGAAGTTTCTGCTGATGAAGACGATGACCCTCTTGGGTCACCACACCCTTCTCCGCGGAGCCAGTCTCCGAGCGATCGAGCTCCCCGACCTGTTTTTGTACAGAATGGGGAGCGCGTCGCCCGAGCACTCCACTCGACGGCCGGTTGTCATGGTTGTCGCGTCACGAAACTCCAAGACGAACAAGGATGCTCGTCTGCATCACAGCTACGCGGCGAGACACCTGGACCAAGAGATGTGCGCCGTCGGTCACACACTGTTGTGGCTGCACTTCGTGTACGACCAGCTCAGCCGATCGCCCACTTCTCGATGTGTGCCGCCCCTCGACTTCACGACTCCGTACAGCTGGTATCACAAGCACCTCTTTCATGCTCGGAACGACAAGGAACAAAAAGAGCTGCCGGCGTCATCTCATTCTCGGATCACGAAAGAGATGTGGCGGACGAACAACATCTTCATCACGCGCAACACCCACGCCGCCCGGGCGGGTGGGGCACAGGAGCTGGCCGACGACGGCGTTCCGCGATCTGACATCGCCGACTTGGGCCACTGGGCGCTCGACAAGCTCGCGAAGAGCTACATCACGACCATCCCGAAGGCGGCGGTGTTGAGAAAGGCCGGCTACACGGGCAAGCGCGGCGACTACCACCTCGGCCGGAGCATGGTGAAGCCCGACGACAAGGTGGTGGCCCTCATCGCCCAGCACATCTTTCCGTGGGCTGAAGCGGAACTGGCCAAGGTGAGCATTTCGGACGGCAATAACGCCGACAACCCGCCGACCATTTCCACGACGACATTATACCGACGGCTGATTGTGTTTGTGTTTGTGTTCGACTCGCAGGCGGTAAAATGCGCATCCGCGAGAGAGCCCAACACGGCCGGGGTGCACTTCCTGCAATCGCTCATCGAGTTCGGCCGCCGAATCGTCGCCGAGGATCTTGCGTGCATGCTGATGCGCGAACCGTGGCACCCGTACGTCCAGAGTTCCAAGCTCTGCCGCGACCCCGACTTCCAAAAATGGGCCAAGGACGTCAACCGGGTGGACCTCGAAACCATCGCGACGCGCAGTACTCCGAGCGAGAACCCCCAAGAGGTACGGCGTGCGCGTTCCGGCGACCTGCAAAACAAGTCGTCCTGCAACATTGGCTCACCTTTTGCCGACCATCCCCCTTGGATCGCAGGAATTCAGCGCGCGAATCGACGCCGAATATCAGGTCGACCAGCTCACCATGATGCTGCACCGCCAGAGGGAGGATGCCGCGATCGAGAAGCTTGAGATGCAGAAGAAGTTGGAGGAGAAGGACGCGGAGATCGCGAAGTTGATGCAGGCTCTCAAGCTGGCCGAGGCACGGCCGACGCCGTCTGCGCCCGCACCGTCAAGGCCGATGACGGCCGCCGAGAAGGCAGCGTCCGTCAAGATCGAGAAGGAACAGGAGGATGACCTGACGTACGAGGTCAACGTCGTGCATCCCTGGCGCACATCCAAGACGGTCGAGGCTGCATGGCGCTGGTGGAACAACCCGTCCAACTTCGACTCGCGTCCGTTGCGCGAACGTTTCGACGAGCACAGATTCCTCGTCAGACACACGCGCATGATCTGCAAGGTCAAAAAGGGCGACAAACCCGCCGCGTCGGCGAAGTCGGCGAAGAGCTCTAGTCCCACGACCGAGGTGGGTGAGACGGGGAAAAACGATGCGCTGCAGCACTGCACTCGCCGGATGAGGCGGATCATGGAAGCGGTGCACGACTTGCGGCGGAGCGACGACGCCGCTGACACCGCCGCCGTCATCAAGCTACTCGACCACCTGGGGCGAGCGGGGCTTTCCACTTTCAGCGACGCGCTCTTGGTCCTCCGTGCAACCCCGCCCATCAAGGTCCCCACCACAGCCGACGGAAAGTCGGTCGGCATCAAGGGTCTGGACAAGCCGCTGGCGAGGAAGCTCGCCGTTGCGTGGGGCGTGGTCACGGCGGGCTACATGGACGCTGACTGGGGAAAGAGGCTCTTCGGCGACTTGTGGGATGAGCAGGCCAATAAGGCCGGCTTGGAGGCCGAGGCGACGGTGGGAGCCATCGGCGCAGGGAAGCGCAAGAGGGCGGGCTGAGGGTACTGCGTCTGGGTCCGACTTGTGCTGCTGGCTGAGCGTGGTGTGACTGAGGCCGGGCTGAGGGCGGGCTGAGGGTGGGCTGGGGATGTGCTGAGCGTGTCCGACCTGTTCTAGTGACTCTATATGGTTTTCTTTTACTGGCAACTTTGTTTCGACTTGTAAATTAGTTGAAGTTTGTCCGTTGTTCATGCATCAAACCGACTCCACACCACAAAACCTACGTCACAACGTTTCTGAAAAACTACCGACGAACAAGTTCAGCATCACTAAGCCGGAGAGGCACAACAAAACAACAAAACAGCGGTCAACAAGCCTGCAGCGTTTGCACCCACGCCGACCATGCTACGAGCAGGCGGGCCAGCCTTCGTCGACCTAGGCGTCGGCGACCTGCTTCCCTTTGTGCTGCTGCCCCCTCGCCCCCCTGTCCCGAATGATAACCTTCATCTGGGGGTCGATAGGCAAATCGACGCCGCGAGCCTTGAGCTTCGGGCCTCCGACATTGCAGTCCCCCCAGAAGGCGAGGTTCTCTATCATGACACGGGCGATCAGCTCGTCGTGCTCGCGCTCCTCTCCGACCTCAGGCAGCGACCTCAGCACAGCCGCCTGCAGGTCCTTCGTCACCGTTTCGGCGACCTCCCCTACGACGACCTCCCGGGAGGCCGCCCGCTTAAGCACCGCCTCGATGACGGTCCGACACCGACTCGCGAACTCGTTGGACGCTCCGCGCACGGTCGCTGCCGCCCCCCCTTCGCCGGCCGCTACTTCCGCCGTGGCATTGGTCTCCGAAAAACACCACACCGCGGCCGCAGTACCGGCGAGGATCTCGGACAACCGCTCCGACCCGACGCCCGGAATGGGCAACACTTTCGCGGCCACCGGTGCGAAGGCGGCACACATCGAAACGCGTGCGATCATGTCGCTCGCCACCTTCTTCTTCGCGGCCTTCTCGGGCTCGGTCGACTCCGGAAGGTCGCCGAACCACACCGCCGGGCGAAGAGCCAACATGAGAGCTGCGCGGTCGGCTCCGGTTATCCTGTTGTATTCCGCGACCACCTGTTGGAACCTGCGAAACACAGCAGGAATACCCACCGTCACCGACCGGCCCACGCGTACCGACCGAAACGAGCACCAAATTGAGCATTCGCCAAGCTTACCTGTCGCGGAAGACGTTCGCCCCTCGGCTCCACATGACCATCCACATGCCCCCCGGAATCAATCGCGCCACATTCCAGTCCGCCTTATACTGCGCCATCACTTCCTCCTTGACCCCACCGAACTCGTCGAGAACCACGTCGCTGACGAAGCCGTCGAACGACGAAACGGCGACAGCGATGCAGTAGGCGGCCTCGGACTTGTCCATCGACCGGCAGATGTAACGGCTCTTTTTCCCTAACTTCATCTCCGAGACGGCCAGCCCAGTTGAAGGGTCAACGCGGACGCCTGAACCCTTCCGACCCTGCGCGGCCGCTTTGGACGTCCCCTTGGAAGAGCCGACCTTCGGCGGGCCGCCCTTCGCCTTGTCCTTGCCCTTGCGCCTCTGCTTCCCATCGCCGACCTCACCGGTTGTGGCCGGGGGAGATTTGGCGCCAGCCGCGCTATGGTCCTCCGCAGGAGCAGTCGAGGCGGCTGGTGCACCCTGTTGCGCTCCCACGGTGGGAGCTGCTGCTTGTAGTTTCTCCCGCATGACCTCGATTTCCGGGTCCGGCATCACGATGCTGGCGAGGATCTCTTCGTCCACCCCGCCGGCCTCTTCCGCCGCTCTCCACACAGCCGCCTCCACCGTTGACCCACTCGGCCCTGCAGTCGCCGCCGCGACGTTCGCTGCCTCTGCTCCTTGGTCGACCACCTGGTTGCTGTGAGTCGGAGGAATTACCGGGGTTTTGTGACCCTGATCCTCGAGCCATTTCAGATACTCGTCGTACGATGGCTTTTGAGTGATTAGGGCCTCGACCGCCCGAGACTCAACAGCCGTTGGGATCGGGATGGGTTCCGCGGCGACCATGGCCCCATGAACGGGTAAGCTGGCCGCACCGGCAGCCTGCTGGACATGCTGTCCGACCACCGCTGCTGGGCGCAACAGCTCGTCGACCAGCGCCGTGACACCACCCGGTCGCGCGTCACGTGCAGTGGCAGGACTCGTCGCGGTGTGCGGATGCTGGCCCGCCGCGGCCTGCTGGACATGCTGTCCGACCACGGATGCTGGGCGCAAGAGCTCGTCGACCAGCGCCGTGGCGCCAGCCGAACGCGCGTCCCGTGCAGTCGCCGGACTCGTCGCGGTGGGGGTATGCTGGCCCGTACCTGGCGGCCCGCCCTGCTGTCCGACCACCGCTGCTGGGCGCAAGAGCTCGTCGACCAGCGCCGTGACGCCAGCCGGACGCGCGTCTTGTGCGGTCGGCGTGCTCGTCGACGGGTGAAGATGCTGGCCCGCACCGGCCGGCCCGCCCTGCTGTCCGACCACCGCTGCGGGGCGCAGGAGGTCGTCGGGCAGCTGCGCTGTGACGCCGGTCGGTCGCGCAGTCGGCGTACTCGTCGAGGGTTGAACATGCTGGACCGCAACGGGCTCCCTGCGCGCCTGGCCGACCACCGCTGCGACGTGCATGTCGTCTGCCGTCTGGGCCGTGCCACCGCTCGGTCGAGCGCCTTGTGCAGTCGCCGGACCCATGAGCTCGTCGGCCAGACTCACCTGCTCGCAGCTCGGTGGCGCGTCGTGTGCGCTCGGCGGATCGGTCGGGGCCTGTGGCTGCTTGTCCCCCACGGGCTGCCCACCGGTCTTCCCGACCACCGACTGAGGATCCTTGAGCGCGACGTCGACCTGTCGAAAATGTTCGCTCGGTCGCGCGCCAAGTCCATCTTTCAGCAAGTCGTGGACGCCGGGGATACGAACATACGGAGGGGCAGGAGGATCCACGCCCACACCGCGTTTCACCGCAGGTCCTCTGCTTCGCTTAGAGCCGCTGGTCTGGTCGCCGGTCATGGATTTTTCGTCGGCGACCCTTTTCCCCGACTGCCTTGGGGCCGGCCCACTCTCCTCGGCGGTTGCGCGACCGCCGTGCATCACCGACGCGAAAGCAGTTGGGAGGAGGCTAAACCCGGCGGTGCCAATGCCCTGTTGGGTCGCGGAGGTGACCGCCTTCACCAGGTCGTCCCTAAGCTCTTGGACGACCTTCGCAGTCACGGCAGCGGCGATCCGCTGCGCCTCGCCCTCCATGGCGGCCTTCACCTCGGCAGACACGACTGTTTTGATGTTCTGGCCGAGAGAATCTGCCACACCTCGAAGCAGCAGGAGGTCGTCCTCCCGTCGCCTACCCTGTGCAGCAGTAGCTGTCAAGTGCAGGGCCTGCACGGTGGGCAGCCACTGCGTGTTCATGAATTCGAGGGTGGAGCCGCGATAGCTCACCGCCTCCTGCACGACCGCCCTCACAGCGTCCACCGCCAGCTGGATGCTCCTCCCCGACGTCTGCTCGAGATGGGTCACGCCCTCGGCGACTGTAGTGAGCTTGTTCACGGCCGAGGTGACCACGCCGTAAATCGTGTCATTCCGGGCCGTTTGGAACTCCAGCCTCTTTTCCGCCACCAGCTTCTCCTCCCTCAGCTTCTTGATCTCCCTCTCCGCCGCCTTCAGACGCTCGATAGCCGCCTTTGACGCCATCCTAGGCGGGGTCGAGCCACTGCTGCCCCGGGCCTTCTTGCCCAACTTGGGTCCGCTGCCGCCGCCCATATCCGCAACCTTCTCACCGGCGAACTGCACTGCCTCCTCTTCGCCGGTGACAACCACGTCGTCCTCCTCACGCTCCACGTCCTCCTCCTCTTCTTCCGAGCCACCGTCGTGCTCCCCGCCCCCCTCAACGTCCTCCCTCTCGTGCTCCTCCTCCCCACCCATAGCGATGCCGGTTTCGACGCCACGGGCCACGGTCGACGCCGCCTCCCCTCTGTTCGACGCGGCCTTCTCCGCGTGGTGCAGCAGCTCCAGTCGGAGCGCCTTCAAGCCGACCATCTTCGGGTTCTCGACGATGAGCGGATCGTAGCTGCGAAACACGTCGTCGAGATGCTCCAAAGACCACGCGAACGCGTTGACCGCCAACAGCCCCGAGCCGGCGACCTCCTCCTTGAGGATGTCGGGCAATTTCTGCATCAACATCCGAAGCACATGGCGACGACGAAAAGGGTGAGTCGACGCCTCGACGACGATAGCCCAGGCGACAAGGCGACATGGACGTTGGAAACTCACATCACGGATGGGGGCGGCAAGACTCTCCAGACGTTCGGAGAGGATTTCGGCGGAAGGAGGCGCAGCCGTCCACTGCCTTCCCTCACGGTTCAACTCCGCCTTCGCGCACTCGGCGAAAAACCTGCGCTACGAGAAGGGAAAGAGCCATCAGACAAGGCGGCATGAACGCCGTTAAAGAGCGGCGCGACTAGCCGTCGACGTTGTCCCACCTCATAACGTTGGCCGCCTCCTCCTCGTGCCGCTTGGAGGAGGTCTTGGGGTCGAGGTGGCGGTAGAACGTCCCGATCTCCTCCTCGTCGGGCAAAAGCAGGTCGCCAGGGCGCACAACAAGCAGGACGCTGCAGTGCCTGCCGGGAAGAGGTCCGCCCCTGCCCACACAAGCACGACGGAGACATTCAGGGTTCTGTCCAGGAACAACAAGCAACTCGGTCGGCGTGGATCAAACCTCGCGGGCGCGGAACACTCACCCGGTGCACAGGGGGATGGCGAGGGCTTCGAAGCCGAAGGCCGACCCGAAAACCAGATAGTCCGCCTTCGACGCCGTCCTGGCGGCGCGAAGACTCGCACCGCGGATCAGGATCATGCTGTCGCCTTTTCCCAGACGATCGAGCTCGTACCTGGGACAAGCGGGGGCGAAAAGGCGGGAGCGAAACACTTGCGCGGTGAGCTACAATCCATGCCGGACGAAGGTAAAGCACGACGGCGATGTCGCCGGAAGCATGACGGACGTCACCGACGTAGGGCCAATGGTCGACTAGTTGATAAGACGACGCAGCTAAAACGTCCATCGCGGATGGACATCGTCGACCACACGGGAAATCGACAAGGCCAACGTCGACCTAGAAAGGACGCCGACGAAAACGCGCTGAACCCTAAACAACTGACAGCGCGACCTAGGGATGCGCGCTCACGCGAGGCCGAGGTCGAAGCAAGGTTCTGTGAACTCGGCCTTCTCGTCGCGAAGGGCTTCGTAGTCCTTCATCTCAAGCGTCACCCCGTACCCACCGACGCCCACTGGCACGTGGAGGGGGAATTCAGTCGCAGGTAGTGCTATCCTACTGGTCGCCATGCTAACACCACGGTCGGTATCACGGAAGGTTTGGGGAGGAGCGCGGAGAGCTGACAGGGAGGCAAAGGAAATCGGAAAGCGAAGGTGGAAAGGAGAAATGAGGGATGGAGTGGGACCCCCCATCAAGAAATGGGTCGGTCGCCTAGTATGCAGCTCGGCGGACGAGGCAGGTCGTCGTGGCCGAGGGCGAGCCTCTGGCTTCGGCCCGTACCGGGCATGCCCTCGAGGGCGGGGTTCGGAGGGGCGGAGGTGGGTGGTTTGTGTGGGCCGTGCGTGGGGGTGGTCGGGGTGGCGAGGGCGAGCCACGTGTCCCCTCCCGAGGGGCCAGCGATGTTGACGAGGGTGGGGTCGGGCCCTTTGAATTTCGCAACCAACCCGCCTGCCCGGCGAGGGCAGCCCGAGAGGGTTACTAGGGCCTCGCGGGCAACGCGAAGCGAATGTCCGCCTCCGTGAAGGGGTAACTAGGCCCCTCGTCGCTCACGCGCGAGTTCGCCACCCGTCGGCTGCAACGTGGGGTTCTGTAGGAATTCGGGGTGGGGGGCCGGGGCGGGGGTCGTGGGCAGAGCCCCGCCCCGCGCCAGCCTGGCGGGGGACTCACGCGAGGGAGTTGGCCGCCCTGACGCTCGGTCGACCGTCACCCCCCCGCGTCGTCCCAGGCAAAAGGGGTGCGTCACCCTCAATTCCGATGAGCGATTCAGCTCAGAAATATGAGACTGGGAACTCGTCAATATCTCAAAAGGCACTTTGCACCAAGTGTTTTACCTCCCTCGACACATGTCCCCGACTGGAGCACGACGAACGCTAAGTGGTTAGAAAGCCTCACCCAAAACCTCGATGCCCCACACTTCGTATGCCCATCACGACCTACACTGCTACAATCTCATTCGCATTCGACAGAAACGCGACCTGTCATAGACTATAGACCGCCATCTCTATCCCTAGACAATCCACAGCCCACGCCGCGCTGCCCCGAACCGGCTTTCATCGCCCAAACGCCCGACCCTTCATTAGGTGAGCCTAATCAATTTGCGGGAGATTACCCCGCCAGAAATGTGGGCCCCTAGAATCGCGTCGACATCGTAGGCCCGCGCAACGAGGCCCTTACGAGCACTAAGTGAACGGCTGTAGTGTAATAAGTGGCCTTACACGGCCTAATGAGAGGCGTTTTGAGCGTCGTAACGGGGGGCGAAACTAAATACGGAGTAAGGAGAGGCGCAATGAGAGGCAGAATTAGACTTGGCGTGAGAGGCGGAATGAGCGGCGGAATGAGAGACGCACTGAGAGGCGGTGTGAAGTGCGGAAGCAGGGGCGGAATTATAGGCGGAATGAGAGGCGGAATGTGAGGCGGAATGAGAGGCGGAAAAAGAGGCGGAACGAGAGGCGGAATGAGAGGCGGAACGAGAGGCGGAACGAGAGGCGGCGTGAGAGGCGGGATGAGAGGCGGATTGAGAGGCGGGATGAGGCGAATAGATAGGCGTAATGAGAGGCGTAATGAGAGGCGTAATGAGAGGCGTAATGAGGGGCGGAAAGAAACCCGGAATGAGAGGCGACGCGAGAGGCGGAGTGAGATGCGGAAGGAGGGGCGGAATGAGAGGCGGAAGGAGAGGCGGCTTGAGATGCGGAATGAGAGGCGGAACGGGGAAGGGAGGAGCAGCGAGAGGGGGAAGGTAGGAGGTGCGAGAGGGGGAAGGGAGCTGCTGTGGGTGGGGGAAGGGAGGAGCTGTGAGAGGGGGAAGGGACGAGCTGTGATATGGGGAATGGAGATGCTGTGTGTGGGAAGTGAGGAGCTGTGAGAGGGGTAAGGGAGATGATGTGGGTGGGGGAAGGGAGGTGCTGTGAGAGGGGGAAGGGATGTGTTGTGAGAGGGGGAAGGGAGATGCTGTGGGTGGGGGAAGGGAGATGCTGTGGGTGGGGGAAGGTAGGAGCTGTGAGAGGGGGAAGGGAGGTACAGTGATAGGGGGAAGTGAGATGATGTGGGTGGGGGAAGGGAGGAGCTGTGAGAGGGGGAAGGGAGGAGCTGTGATAGGGGGAAGGGAGATGCTGTGTGTGGGGGAAGGGAGATGCTGTGGGTGGGGGAAGGTAGGAGCTGTGAGAGGGGGAAGGGAGGAGCTGTGATAGGGGGAAGGGAGATGCTGTGGGTGGGGGAAGGGAGATGCTGTGGGTGGGGGAAGGGAGGTGAGTTCAGAGGGGGAGGGGATGTGTTGAGAAGGGTAACGGATGTGATGTGAGAGGGGGAAAAGATGTGCTTAGGGAGGGGTAGGGAGGAGAGAAGGCCGGTGAAGGTAGGTGAGGGGAGGGGGAAAGGTGTGTAAGTACGGAGGAGGAAGAGAGGTTCTTAGATAGGGGGGATGGAGGTGCTAGCAGGGGGGAAATAAGTGATGTGAGATGAGGAAGAGAGGTGCTGGGAGTGGAAAGGGAGGTGAGGTCAGACGTGGTTGGGAGGTGAGATGAGAGGGGGAAGGGAGGTGCTGTGAGGGAAGGGAGGTGCTGTGAGGGAAGGGAGGTGCTGTGAGGGAAGGGAGGTGCTGTGAGGGAAGGGAGGTGCTGTGAGAAGGTGCTGTTCCGTTCCTCTCCTCGCTGCTCCGTTCCTCTCCTCGCTGCTCCGTTCCTCTCCTCGCTGCTCCGTTCCTCTCCTCGCTGTTCCTCCCGTCATCAGTTTTTCCCTCTATTCCACCCTTCCTCTTTTCATCCCTTCTTCTGTAACCCTCTTCAACTGTAAGCATTAATCGAGGGACCTTGCGTTATCCTTTCCCGTGTTGGCTGCTTGTCCTTCATCATTATCACGTACCGTATACTTCCCTGATGTTCAGCCATGTCACATCTAATTTCTTGGTTTGTGTTTGTATACAGGTCTCCTAACCATCTGGTTGTGGTGATGTTTTGACTGCTTGATAGTACTATGATGATTGGCCATGCTGTATATTGATGTTGGATGCTTTGTTATAATACAAACACTTGGCTCAGAAGCAGCCATGCACATGACCACTACAAAGGAAGTACTTGGCAACTGACTATCATGACAAACAAGACAGCTAGAAATGTAATATTTTTGGGCCACTCTTGGCTGCTACACTGCATGCAATAAACCCTGGGCCATGGTGCTGGGACTGGGACATGTACCCTGCGCGGCTGGCAATGGGGGTGAGTGAAAAGGGGAACAGACTGAGTACCGGAAAATAGAGTGAACAGGAAGAAACAAAGCGAGCCCGGGGGAAGAGAATGAGCAGGGGAAACAGAGTGAGCCGGGGGGGAGAGAATGAGCAGGGGAAACAGAGTGAGCCGGGGAGATCAAGGTGTGTGGGGGAGAGTGGTGAGGAGCTAACGTGCCGTGTGGGGAAGGGAGTGGACGAGGTGTAACAGAAGGGCGTCAGGGACAGCAGCAGTAGAGAGGTTGAGGTGAGTGAGGGAGGCGAGGAGGTGAGGAGGGAAGAGGGAGGAGGGAGGAGCGATTGAGGCACCAGAGATGACCAGATGAGTGATGGGGAAGGAGGAAGAGGATGAGGAGGAGTGAGATGAGGAAGGAGAGGAGGCGAAGGGAGAGGATGAGGAGGAGGGGAGAGGGAAGCCAATGGAAAGGAGGGGGCACTGGGAGAGGTGGAGGGCGGTGAGGGAGGGGTGGGCGGTGGGAGAGGGCAGTCCAGGCGAGGTTGGCAGAGAGCAGGCGGGGGAAGGGCGAGGAGTAGCGAGGCAGAGGCGCTGGTGATGCTGCTGCTCCACACGGACAGATGGCGCAAGTGAACCAGCGACTGCAGGGGAAGGGGGGGAGGTGGGGGTGGAAAGAGGATGGTGGGAGTGAGGGAAAGGGGAGCAGCGGCGCAGAGGCGTTGGTGATGCTGCTGCCCCACACTGACAGATGGCGCAAGTGAACTAGCGATGGGCGGGGGAAGCGAGGGCAACGGGAGGGGGAAGCGAGGGCGACGGGAGGGGGAAGCGAGGGCGATGGGAGGGGGAAGCGAGGGCGATGGGAGGGGGAAGCGAGGGCGATGGGAGGGGGAAGCGAGGGCGATGGGAGGGGGAAGCGAGAGCGATGGGAGGGGGAAGCGATGGCGATGGGAGGGGGAACCGAGGGCAAAGGGAGGGGGAGGCGAGGGCGATGGGAGGGGGAAGCGAGGGCGATGGGCGGGGCGAGGGGAGGTGGAAGCGAGGGCGACGGGAGGGGGAAGCAAGGGCGATGGGAGGGGGAAGCGAGGGCGATGGGAGGGGGAAGCGAGGGCGATGGGAGGGGGAAGCGAGGGCGACGGATGGGGGAAGCGAGGGCGATGGGAGGGGGAAGCGAGGGCGATGGGAGGGGGAAGCGAGGGCGATGGGAGGGGGAAGCGAGGGCGATGGGAGGGGGAAGCGAGGGCGACGGATGGGGGAAGCGAGGGCGACGGGAGGGGGAAGCGAGGGCGATGGGAGGGGGAAGCGAGGGCGATGGGAGGGGGAAGCGATGGCGATGAGAGGGGGAATCGAGGGCAAAGGGAGGGGAGAGGAGGCCGCGCGGAGAGGTGAGAGGAGGCCGGGCGGAGAGGTGGGAGGAGGCCGCGCGGAGAGGCGAGAGGAGGCCGCGCGGAGAGGCGAGAGGAGGCCGCGCGGGGAGGCGAGAGGAGGCGAGAAGGGGATATCGGGCGGCAGAAATGGGAGATCGGGCCGCGGGAAGGGGAGCTCGGGCGGCGAGCACGGGAGATCGGTCGGCGAGCAGGGGAGATGGGGTGGCGGGGAAGCGGAGGTCGGGTGGCGGGAAGGTGACGGGTATAACCTAATCATAAGCATAGGCAAAGGGGAGCGCTACTGCTGCTCACCCCTGTTACGAGATCTCTTTTCTCTTTTGACGCCTTTGGATAGAAGATTGCTTACCTTTGGAAGGTAATGCTTCTGCTATGTGTGAGGAGGTAGGGCGGGAGTGGCACTTGATTTTTCCCTATCACTTCACTCCCTTGCACAATCTGTGTCTCCGTCGTCAGTGTTGGTCGCACAAAGTGCAAACTTTCCAAACCTGTCCCGCAAGAGGTTCGGAAGTGACCCAAACCTGCCCCTGAGCTCTTGTGTTGACCTCAACACTTTGGAACTTCGCCCATATATTTCCCCCGCTCGTCAAAAAAATCGTCACTCGTAAACTAATCAGGACCTTACTTTCCCAACCAAGTGTTAAACACTAGTAAATATGAGACGCGAGCTTTAAAAGAAGTCCAGTCGGTTCAGACGGGACCAACACAATTCCGCTAAGTGCTGATTCATAAAACAGTTTCAAACAGATTCGTTTGCGGTGTTATCCTGACTTTGAGAAAAGTGGAACTCGGTAACAAATTGCTTTCGGATGTAACACCATGTTACCAGAGCTGATTGAAAACACAACCCGGAACAAAACACGTCTTCAGTTCCTCTGTAAGTCTCAAACAGCAGAATCGAGCAGCACAGGCAAGAATTTCAACGGTTATGACGGGACTTCCTAGACGAACATTGTTACGTGTGCAATTGAGTGAAGGAACGAGAATTGCACTATCGAAGCAAAAGTACAATGAGCGAAGGCATGAGCGAAGGATTATATAGCGAAACAATAGTGGTAACGGTAATGGACTGTGGTTGTCGCGCGTCGAGCCTGGGACTGAGGTTGGGAAAGTGTCGAAGCGTAGGCCCGGAGCGCGGGTTACCAGCCGAGCCGTGAGGTCGGGATGCGATGTGCGAAAAAGGCGGGATGATGAATGATGCGATGGTCGCGAGTGGTAACGGTGCTGACTGAGGTGCTACAGTGACGTACGCGCTGGGCAGGGACGCGAAGTAAGGAAAAGGGAATTTCCTTACACTACCCCCCTCCCCAAGGAGGCCCCTCTTACGAGAGCGCATGGACGTCGCGGAAATTTCGGCTTCGCAGATACTCGGTGAAGACAGGGTGGTTCTCAATTTTATCCAGGGGGACCCAGTTGTCTTCTGTGGGCGTTCGGTCCTTCCAGCGAATTAGGAACTCGATCCTTCGGGCTCCCCGAGGGTCGCGGACGCGGTGGCTGAGGATTTTTTCAGGGGTGATGAGTGGTTCGGTTGGGGGACGTGTCATGCTGGCTGGGCGATTTCGTGGCAGTTGGCTCGTGGATGGGATGTAAGGGCGAAGTAGGCTGACGTGGAATGACGGGCTGACGTACCAGTCAGCGGGGAGGAGGAGGTGGGCGGTGACGGGTGTGATCATGTGGCTGATGCGAAATGGCCCACAATATCGGGGGCGAAGTTTTGGAGTGATGGGCAGGCGAAGGTTCTGAGTGTCGAGTAAAACGAGGTCGTCGGGCTGATAAGTAACGGGTCTGCGATGTCGATCGGCGTTGCGTTTAGCGATGATGTTTGATTTTTTTATTGCTTCTGCTGCCCTGGTCCGTGCTGCTTGCAGGATCTCGGCGAACTGTTGTGCTCGTGGGACGGGGTTGTCGGGATTTGGTGTCATGGGTACTGTTGGGTCCTGTCCGTAATTTAGATAAAACGGCGACTGTTGCGTCGTGGCTGATGGTGCGTTATTGTATGCGAACTCAATGAGTGGCAGTTGCTGTTCCCACGTATTCGGGTCGTCGCACGTGGCTCGAATCAGCTGCTCCATGGTCTGATTTGTCCGTTCCGTCTGTCCGTCGGTTTCGGGGTGATAGGATGAACTGAACTGTAAGCGCGTGCCGAACTGCTGCCACAGGTTCCGCCAGAAGTTGCTGGTGAATTTCGTGTCCCTGTCGCTGATGATCGACGCGGGTATCCCGTGCACGCGTACGACGGTGGAGATGAATAGTCGGGCGGTTTCCTCGGCTGTGATGGATTTCCTGCATGCTGCGAAATGAGCCATTTTCGTTAGTCGATCGACGACGACCAGGATCGCGTCATTCCCACTCGCCCCAGCTGGTAACCCCGTGACGAAGTCCATCGTCACCTGCTGCCAAGCACGCTCTGGAGGCGGGATGGGTTGTAATTGCCCTGCTGGTCGCTTCCTGCTTGTCTTCATGAGCTGGCAAGTGGGACACGATGCCACGTGTCGTTGCACGTCAGTCAACATTTCTGGCCAGTAGTAGTACCGCTGCAGCTGCTGCCGTGTTTTTTCTACCCCAAAATGTCCCGAGGTAACTCCGTCGTGTGCTTCCTGTAACAGTAGTTCCCGAAGTAACGTGTATCCCGGTACCCAGATGCGGTCGGTTCCTGTTTTTACGTAATAGACTCCTTTTGCCGCTGCGAATTGCTGTGAGTTGCCTCCTGTAAAGAACGGGTCTGTTTGATATCCGTGGGTAAATAGGCCGGTAAGCAGTGGGCTGGTCTGGGCGAGTAGTATCGCGTGGATCTGGGCAGTGGGGCGGGTCAGTGCGTCGGCGATATTCGATGCTCCTTTTTTGTATGTGACCGTATAGTGAAAATTCGACTCGAGGAAATCGAGCCATCGAATCTGTCGTGGGTTGAGGTGGGGCTGTGCGCGGAGGTACTGTAGAGATCGGTGGTCTGTCCGTACTGTCACGTCTGCGCCAGTCAAGTAGCAGCGCCAAACTTTGAATGCATGCACGATCGCGAGCATTTCGCGGTCGTGTATCGGATAATTTCGCTCAGGCGGATGTAGTTTTCGTGATTCGTAGGCGATGGGTTGGAGGCCGTTGCCGAAGTCCTGTAACAGTACAGCTCCGATGGCGATGTCACTTGCGTCGGTAACCACTTCGAAAGGGCGGTGGGGATCAGCGATGCGTAGGACGGGTGGTGAGCAGAGAACGTTTTTTAGGGTAGAGAAGGCAGCATGCTCTTTCTCCCCCCACGTAAAAGCGACCCCCTTACGCAGTAAATCAGTTAGTGGGGCGGTTAAACGTGCCATGTCGGGCACGAACCGTCGAACGTAATTAACAAACCCTAAAAAACTCTGCAGTTCCGTGATGTTCGTCGGGGGGCGCCACGCTTTTACCGTGTCCAGCTTCTTTGGGTCAATCTCAACCCCAGCCTCTGAAATGACGTGACCTAAAAACTCTAGCCTATCCCTAAAAAACTCGCACTTGGAGCCCTTGGTAAGCAGCCGATGTTCCTCTAAAACCTTAAAAACTGCTTCAAGATCTGCTAAGTGTTGCTGCTTATCCCGACTGTAAACGAGGATATCGTCTAGGTAAACGATGACGCATTTATCTAAAAGTGGCCTAAATGCCTCGTTCATGGTCATCTGAAAAGTCGCAGGCGCGTTCGTCAACCCGAAGGGCATTACTGTGTACTCGAATGACCCGTACCGAGTCCTAAATGCTGTTTTTGCGCAGTCCGATGGTTCGACGCGAATCTGATGGTAACCTCCTCGTAAATCTATTTTCGAAAAGACACGTGCTGTTCGCAGTTGGTCAATCAGTTCGTCGGCGCGGGGGATGGGGTATCGCGATTTGACTGTTACTCGGTTAAGCGCTCGGTAGTCGATGCACATGCGAAAACCTCCGTCTTTTTTCGGTGTGAACAGTATGGGTGCGGCGAACGGTGACGAGCTCGGTCGAATAAACTGCTTCTCTAACAGGTAATCTAACTGCTTCCTTAACTCGTCGAGCTCGGGCTGTGTCAGTCGAAATTGCCGCTGTACTGTTGGCTGTGCCCCCGGTTCTAGCTCGATCCTATGGTCGTGCGCTCGCTGAGGTGGCAGTCCCTGTGGTAAATCATCCGGAAATATCCCCGGGAACCGTTTCAGTAGTGCTTGTAATTCGGTCGGTACGGCTGCTAGCAGTTTCTGTAAATCGTTCTGCTGCTCGTCTTTTTCTACCACTGCGATATCCACTGCGTACACGTCAGCTCCAGCAGCGACAGCCCGTTTCATCGCGATGGCGTTGACCTGGACTGTCGAAGATTCGGGTGGCCGCCAGCGAGGTAGGACGACCCAGTTACCGCTACTTCGCACTGTGCAGCTCCCCGTCGTCCAGTCGATCCGTGGGTTGTACCGTCGCAGCCAATCACGTCCCAGTAAAATGTCGTGCCCATCCAGCGTCGTTGCGAGCATTTCCTGTGTAAACCCGAAGTTTCCCCCGCAGCGGACTTTTACTCGCTCCACTTTTTCTCGTATGGCCAAAGGCGTGCCGTCGACTAAGCGTGCATCTATCTCAGGTAAACATCGGTTAAGTGTTAACTGTAATTTCCGTGCGGTTGCAGTATTAACTAAGCTGTGACTTGCTCCTCCGTCAATGAAGATTTTCACTGCTGCTCCCTGTATTTTCCCGTAGATCAGTACCGGGCAATCCGTCGCTGTACCCTCCTTATTCATCCGAGCCCGATCGATGGCGTGAATCGGTACTGTGACTCGGTGAGGGTCGGTGTGGTTGGGCGAGCAGGCAGTCTCGTCAGTAGTTGGCCCAACTTCTACTGACTGCTGGCGTTTCCCTGCCTCCGAGACTCCTTCCCCTGCTCTGCTCCTCGACGCCTCAGCTCCTCTGGACATTCGCTCTTGCGATGGCCCGGCCGGTTGCAAGCAAAGCAGCGCCCTCTAAATGGCGTGGCAGCTGCATTCGTTGCGACGGCATGTACAGTGGCGTGCTCGATCGGTCCCCGAGGGCGATGTCCGAAATAGGACCCCGGTCTCGGTCGGCGTAGGATATCGATTTTCTCGGCGAGCGCGAGGATTTCGTTGAAATTCGATAGCCCGCGTAGCATTATCTCGTGCGATATGTCCGGCTTCAGCCCTCCGACGTAACGGTCCACCCGCTCCGCCTCGTGCATGTAGCCGACCTGTTCGCAAAGTGCGAGAAAACCGCTGGTGTAGTCTTGAACCGACCCGAGCTGGCGCCAAGTGCGCAGTTTCTGACGCGCCGAAATCGAAGCCGCGATCGGCTCAAAACGCGCCCGAAGCCCTGCGCACCACGCATCCCACGTGCTGTATTGGGCTGTTTCGCAGAACGAACTCCAGGTGACAGCTGGACCCGAGGGCCCTTCCTCGTGCGACGGTGGCTCGTAGGCGCGTGGCGACGTCACGATGACTCGCCACCAGTCCATGGCGGGGCCCCTGAGTAGTGAAACCGCATACCGAATCTTGGCGGCGTCCGACTCGACGTAGTTGGCGTCGAAAAACACATTCATCGTGAAGACCCACGATTGAACTGTCGGGCCGCCGCGTTGGCTTGGGTCGAAGCAGGGCGGGCGTTGCGGCTTGAGTGGCATTGGGGCCATCATGGCGTTTTCACCACTTGTCGTTGCAAACTCCACGTGCCGACGGGCTTCTCGGGGCTCCCGTGGGCTTAGCGTGCTCCTGTTCCCTCCCATGCCGGGCATCGGTTGGGCTGCGCCGTCACTGGCTGCGCCTGAGCGCTGTCCCGTGCTGTTGTGTTGCGTTGGTGTGCCGGATGAAATGATAATCGGCTCCTCCGAATGTACAGAGACATTGGTTGGTGCGTGGGATGTTGTCGGAGCATTCACCGTTGACTGTTGACGGGCGGAGTCACGTTCCGCCGTGAGCGTCGCGATTTCAAGCGCCGAATCCTCCAATTGTCGCACGAGACGATCGAGTTGCTCCTGCGTCAACGTGGCGAGATTGAGGTCGGCCATGGCGGGGGTGTCGGGCAAGCTCAGCGAGAGCCTCGGTCGTGGCCGTGCGTGCTTGCGAGAGAGCACTTCGAGCGGCGGTGCTGTGTCGCTGAGAGACGTCTACCCCCCCCAAAATTGAGATAGTGGGAAGCGAAGGTGTGGATGCGGTCCGAGATGAGATCGTAGGCTCTGAATACCAAGTGTTACGTGTGCAATTGAGTGAAGGAACGAGAATTGCACTATCGAAGCAAAAGTACAATGAGCGAAGGCATGAGCGAAGGATTATATAGCGAAACAATAGTGGTAACGGTAATGGACTGTGGTTGTCGCGCGTCGAGCCTGGGACTGAGGTTGGGAAAGTGTCGAAGCGTAGGCCCGGAGCGCGGGTTACCAGCCGAGCCGTGAGGTCGGGATGCGATGTGCGAAAAAGGCGGGATGATGAATGATGCGATGGTCGCGAGTGGTAACGGTGCTGACTGAGGTGCTACAGTGACGTACGCGCTGGGCAGGGACGCGAAGTAAGGAAAAGGGAATTTCCTTACAAACATCATGATGTGACTCTATTCAAAGCGATGTGACAACTCAAGCCTATAGCGAAAGACCTGAATCACCGTCGCCGGTCATGATTTCCAGTCCAATCGCACGACGATCACGTTTAGGGTAGAGAATGTGAGAAGCCTTCACTTACACGGAAAATCCATACCATGCGGCGCGCGGCTTCCTCTCCCGAATCATTGAGCACGCCGCATACCATCGTGTCGGCGGTGCGGCCAACGGGCTTTCGACCGTGGTACCGCCATTCCTGTCACGTCAACTGCCCCCATGCGCGGACCGCAACCGTCGCCCCCGCGTTGCGCTATGGGTTGGAAGCGGTCGGAGCGATGGGGGGGAGTCGAACAGTGAGATGAGTGAAAGTGCGAGGCGAGCGCAGCGCCGCGTGACTTATATGGCATGATCCCTCCCTCTTGTCCTCTCTCATTCATCCCTTCCCTCCTCTGCCTGTTTCTCGCCCCCACAAGCCTCCAGTTCTGTTTATCTTCCTCCTGGCCGATTTCTCCTGCCTCGAATTCCGATTTATCCCCTATCTCCTCTAGCGGCGTCGCTACCCGCCCTCTGTCCTCGGCCCCTTGCCGTAGATCGCTGGCAGTTGTTCTGCTTAGTAGCGCCTTGTCTCAATCTGGCTGCTCGTTGCAGCCGTCTCGCACACCTGCCACCGCCGCACCCGCACGACGGGTAGGCACACCAGGTCGTCCACCGCTGCACCTTTTTCTCTGGTACGTTTCCTGCCTCTGTCTCTGCATCCTGCATCTTTCCCGATGGGTCTTGCTCTTCCTTTCTTTTTCCTGCCTGAGCCCAGGCCCAGCTGTACCACTTTTCAACTTCCTCTGTAGTCTCCCCCTCTCAGCACTTGAGCTGCTCTCTTTCGCCACACCCTCTCACTGTACCCACCTTCGTTTTTCTGCTGCTGCTCGACCTTGCCTGTCATCTTGTTCGTCCAAGCGATCGCACTTTTTTCAACGCCTGTCTCATCTCCATGCGCGCCTTGTCAGTTATATCTCCATCCTAGGCCTGGTCGCATGCTGTCTTCTCTCACGCGTCTGTTTCCAGGTTTCGCTTTATCCTCATTCTTTTCTTTGAAGCTTAGCTGATCTCCACCGTTATTGTCATTGTCCCCTCTGCCTCTGACCGTCTGAGCCTAGCCTTATTACTTCCCCTCGCCACCTAATTTTGTTCCCATCCTTGCTGCCCTGCTTTCCTGCTTCCTCTTCACTGCAACTTTTCTCGCCGGCTGCACTCGTTCTTAGCTCTGACCATCTTGCCATTCTTCCATGCGATCCCACTTTAGTCACGCCAGTCTCATCGCCTTTCGCTGACCGTCGCGGTCGTTACATGATGATCCTTTCACGTGTTCATTCCCTCCCCTGTTGCTGTTGCTCGTGCAGTCCTTCGCTGCTGCCGCTTATCACCGCTTTCTCCTCCTGCCTCGCTCCTCCTGCCTCACGCCCATGCAATCTTTTTGTCACTGTGTACATTTCCTTCAAAACAATTGCCCCACCCTACTCAGGCCTTAGTCTATTTTCGCCAGTTTGCAGTGAAAAAGGCGGCTGAACAGAAGGGTTATTCATAGAACGAGGGTCGTTCAAGGGGGTTTACTGGAATACATGGCTGCTGAGAGAGCGTTGGGGCCACTGATTGAAGTGGTCAAGGAGGCGGTGCTGGCAGCAGTGAGAGAGGAGTCGGCTGCACACAAGGAGGAGGTGAATGAGCTGCGGCACATGTTGGCAGGAGTGAAAGGGGAGTTGGCTGAGCTCAAGCAGTCAACTAAGTTGCAGCTGGAGGAAGCGGAGCAAAAGCGAGTGGCGGAGATGAAAGGGAAGGTGGAGGAGAAGGAGAGGCAGCTGGCAGCAGTGAAGAGGGAGCTAGCTGAGCATATCAATGCTGGCATGAAGTTGGATGTTGACCAGAAGATTAGCCAGAGTGCAGGTGATCAGAAGACTGCATGGGAGGTGAGTAAGACTGCATGGGAGGTGAGTAAGACTGCATGGGAGGTGAGTAAGACTGCATGGGAGGTGAGTAAGACTGCATGGGAGGTGAGTAAGACTGCATGGGAGGTGAGTAAGACTGCATGGGAGGTGAGTAAGACTGCATGGGAGGTGAGTAAGACTGCATGGGAGGTGAGTAAGACTGCATGGGAGGTGAGTAAGACTGCATGGGAGGTGAGTAAGACTGCATGGGAGGTGAGTAAGACTGCATGGGAGGTGAGTTTTAAGTGAACTGTTTCAGGGTATGCATGGTTTGACAGGGTATGCGTGCTTTGACTGAATTGTCACGATGGTTTTCTTTTCCTCTCATTCCCTCGTCATCCCTCCAGCGATTCAAGGCAGCATCACAAGCAACCAGTCTGAGTCTGGCGCAACTCCACGACCTCTTTGACGCCATGCTCGCCCTCGTGTCCACCATGACCCATCTGACGAGCATCAGCTTGGCGGAGAGCTCAGGCTTTAGTGCAGAGGGCATCAAGCACCTCTACAGGCTGCCACGGCTGGAGAAGCTAGACCTTGCCAGCACAGATGTCTCAGACAATGCCTTGGAAGGCATTGGGTCGTTGACCAGTCTCAAACACCTCTATCTCCTTAGAACCAACGTGACCGATGCTGGTCTGCCGCACTTGACAGGCCTCTCCTCTCTTAACAATCTGTGGCTTTCGAAGTGCAAGGGTGTCACAGATGCTGGCATGGTGCATGTGGGGAGGCTGACAGGGCTTGAGGAACTTCGGCTGCATCAGATGGAAGTCACGGATGCTGGGTTGCAGAAGCTAACTGCCCTGACCAAGCTGACAACTCTCCGGCTGCCAAATGGGGACTTCGTACGCAATGACGAGGTGCGCAGGTGGATAGGTAGGCGAGACAGGGAGTGATGGAAGGGAGGGAGACACGTGACGGTAAATTTGACTGACTGCTTTGATTGAGGGCATGGAGGCAAGGGGTGTGAAGGTTGGGGTTGGTACATCGCCATGTGTGCAAGGGCCCCTCAGCCAAGATAGAACAGTTATGCTATAGTAGGCATTCCTGTATAATCCTGTCTTGGGTGCAATCTGTAATGAGCTAGCCATTTGTGATTCTATCGTCTGGAAGCATGGCCTAACCTTGAACATGCTGTCTCATACAGGCTATGTTGGATTATACGCTCTAGACCCTTTGCGTTTAGCGTATCTACGCTAGCGTGTACACGCAATACGCTAAACGCTAGCAAATACGCAATACGCAGCCATATTTTTTTTCGGGCAGCCCGGAAAAGTAAAATCGGGAAAAGATGCGGATTTTCTTGGTGAACATTTCGCCGGAGTCGAAATGCAAATCCGCGGTCTATGCAAGCTGGGATCTGACTTCGAAGTTTTCAGGCAGATCTGGCTATTCAAATGTCGAATTTCAGGTCCCATCTAGGCATTTGAACCCATCCCCTCTACCGCATTGAAAACCATCTTATCTACGAACTCCAACCTATCAAAATCGAACCCCCAACAAACCTCACGCTACTTACCAGCCAGCCCAACTCCTAACCCGTCATTCCTACCTTGCATTCCCGCTTGCAGCAGTGTCCCCGCGCGCGCACTCCAACTTGAACAGCCTCTCCAACACTACTCCCTATAGCTATGATGTCTACTCCCCGCCCCACCCCACCCGCCGATCGGACTCAGGAAAATGCTAGGGCGCGTCTTAGTGAGATGTTTTTTCCACCGATAGGGATTTTTTCCACCCTGCCCGAAATGTTTTTTCCCTGCCCGAAAAAGCGTATGCCTGATCCGACCCTCAAGCGTATGGCGTATACACGCTAGCGTATATACGATACGCGTATATACGCTAAACGCGTATAATCCATCATAGCATCATCGCACGTAGAACTGAGGCTTCCAGCAGTTAGCTGGAAGCCTTCCTGGTGACTCCCGATTTCGGGAGTCCTGTCAGTCAGCTTTCAATGCGGGGGGGTAATTGTGGGGCAACAGAACCACCCTGGAGTCAACCTGCGCAGTGCCGAAACCAACCTGCGAGGCGACTGCATTGCGTAAGTTGGGAATCGCATGTCAGTTGGGGCGAGCATATCGATTTTGTTACCTTCCTAGTCGAAAAGCAAGCCCTCGCACATGCGAGACTCAAAAAGTTGGGTGTAACCAGGGCCGTAACAGATTTGATATTGTTGGTTACCACGTGATAACATGAATATTAAAAAAAGAGTTCACGAAACGGTTTTCGGATATTTGTTCCACAAATGAGAGATAAACAAGGCAAGTTATTTTAATTGAGATAACTACACTACAGTTGGCCCAACATAAACAGAGAGTACATAAACTGAATATATAAACTGAGAAAACTGAAAGCTACTAAAAAATCATAAACATAATCAGCCACATAAATGTAAATTGCACAATTCGACTATAAAACTAGCAACCAAAAAAATTAGAAATTAGGAAACTGCATGTCACATAAACTAATCTAAATCTACATCAGCAGCAGCAGAATCAAGCTCCTAAATGTCCTCTACAATCCGCCACTCCTTAACAATAACATCTCCGAAGTAGAAAAACCCACTCACTAACGGGATGCGAGCACGACGAATCCAGCGCTCAACCTGGGCCCGCCTCTTCTCCATCTCGCGGGTGTTATTCTGGGAATCAGAAAACATGCTGCTTTGGTCACGTGACATCATCTCAAACTCCACCTGCCAAGCAAACAGGTGCAATTGAATTAAATGGTAATTACGGTAAGGAGAACACATAAAAGAAGCCAAGAAACTCACCGCGACCATTGTGTAGCAAAGCTGATCAATGCTGAGGGAGAAGACCCCATCCTCTTTCTTCTGCCACTTGCTTGCAGCAGCTAAAAACGCCTCGCTACAAAACGGCTTGTCGGCCAGAGCATGCCACGGCATGCCAAACTTCTCTGCACAAAGAGAAACATAAGTGGTGAGACACCAGAAATAAAGAAAGCATTAGCAAACAGTGTACACGTACCAGACACGTAGTCTCGCGCGTAATCGCGCCGAGAGTCAACGGAGTCGTTCACTACTTTGCCGTCAGGGTACTTCAGCAGCTTGAAACTCGCCTTCCGAGATTTGTTGCCGAGTTTCCCCCGCCGGCCGTTGCAAATATCGTTGCACCTCTTCGCCCACTCGCCTTTCTTCCAAAAGTCATTAAATTTCCCGAAGTTTTCGGGCTCCAGGGCGAGGTGCACCACGACGGCCGCCTTGAATTGGTCTTCCTCGGGGTAAATGACACGGGCAGAGACGTCCGGGCCCCTGAGCAGATCATCGCAGGCCTTCTTGCAAGCATCCTGCGAATCAGAGCAACACATTTCGCGAAAAGTATAAAAATGAAAATTAAGTAACAACCAAAGAATTGAAATAAAAGAAACTTACCTCCATGGTTTTCTCGTTGCACCAACTCGGTTGGTGTACAATAGCGAGAAGGTTCTTGACAGTCGTAGCTAGAGTCTGATGGATCTCATCCGAAACACGAAGACGGTTTTCAATACGCTGCATCAGAGTCTTAACTTCCTTCAGTTCGCCACGTATGGCTGCGTCGATGTGGTTGTACGAGTTGGCCTCAGGATGATGAACATCTCGATCTGACGTGGGCAAAGCTAAGAAACCGATAGGTAGAAAATAAAACGTAGAAACGAATAAGTAACACAAAAGAGGGTAAAAATATATACAATCAAACGTAATGACAGTTGACGTCAAAAGAAGTGCACGACAAAGCACACAACTTACCGCCGGGTCCAGCAGAGGCAACAACGTTTACACCAGCAGACCGTTGCACTACCGGAGCAGTGGCATTCGAACCATCGTGGGGAGAGGGTAGTCCGTTGTCCGCGGTGACTTCCGCCGCGCCGACATCAAGGTCTTGCAACTGTGGTACCTGAGGAAGGGCGGTGGCGTTACCCACCTGATGGGCAGGGGTAGAAACTCTACGAGCGCCAGTGGTAGGGCTCCCCAACTCATACCCTTCCAGGCGACGGTTTGAAGTACGTGAACGCTTACGCTGCAGCTCCATAATTTCCGCTGGCACGCCGACCGCCATGGCTGCAAGAACGCCACTAACAGGCTTCGAGCATGAAGATAAATCGCGAGCTAAGAAATATAAATGGAGTTGGTCGATGAGAAGCTCGACTGGGTCCACCAAGCTTCTTGAAACACAAAAGTTTACAGGATGTTTGGGGTCTAACTTGTTAGCACGATGGTTCACCCTGAGGTAGTTCAAACATCCTTTTGGTTCCCTACACTGCGAACAAACAGTTACATTGAAGCGCTTAGCAAGAATACCTGACAAAAGTAGCAAGGTTTCGAGTAATGTTTGGGTAAAATCTCTCACCAACGCCAAACTGATAAGGCAACGTGTTTGGTCCAAACATCAAAGAAGTATCGGTTTTTGCATAAACCTGTCCGTGGGAAGGAGCCAGAAAAGAAAATGATCTATCGGCGCAGAGCACTGTATCTGGCCAGGGAAATGAGCCCACAGTCGCGTTGTACAACGCGACAACACAACCGTTCAACTAGGGCAGCACGGAAAGCAAAGAAGGTGCAAGAAGCAGTTATGTGCAGCAGCACGCGTTGCAAGCGAGGCACGAAAGTCCTTATTTGGGGCGGCAGCTGTCAGAATATTATTCTTATGTTCTAGCCTGTAGTGGGGTGCTCTATAGCGAGTACAACCCTTCTAGGGTTTGCTATTTGTATCCCCATTTCTGCTAGTTCATTCCTCTTTCTTCTTCTAATTTTGACATGCTATCAGAGCAGGTCGATCCCCCTGGATCGATCCTGTGGGTGGGCTTACCACCGCTTAGCTTCCGCTGCTACTACTGCTACTACTCTCTGAGCCGCACGCCCCGTGGCGTGCGGCATTTTTTCATCCCGCCGTGCGCCCCGAGGCGCGCGGCGGTTTTCTGCCCGCCGTGCGCCCCGAGGCGCGCGGCGGTTCATTGCCCGCTGTGCGCCCCGGGGCGCGCGGCGGGCTTCTCCCCTACGTCGCGGCCCCGCCCCGATCGTCGCGGCCCCGCCCCTCGACGCGGCCCCGCTCTACGTCGCGGCCCCGCCCCGGCCCGTCGCCGCCCGTGCGCCTGCCCGGCTCGGCCCCGCCCCTCGACGCGGCCCCGCTCTACGTCGCGGCCCCGCCCCCGCCCGTCGCCGCCCGTGCGCCTGCCCGGCTCGGCCCCGCCCTACCTTTGCGGCCCCGCCCTATGTTGCGGCCCCGCCCTATGTCGCGGCCTCGCCCTACGTCGCGGCCCCGCCCTATGTCGCGGCCCCGCCCCGACCGTCGCGGCCCCGCCCCT